TATAAATTAATTTAAAACAAAACAAATCAAAAATTTACTAAAAGGTAAACAGAATTTCGAACTAAAAAAAAAAAAAAGAAAAAAAAAAAAAGAACTCTTCCGTAAAACAAAAAAAAAATAAAAAAATAAAAAAACGAGAGAGAAAGAAAAAGTTAACCAATAAAAAGAAACAAAAGAAGAAAAGAAGAAGGAAAAATAAAGAAAATTACAAACAAAGAATAAGAAGATTGGTTGTTTTATACTTTTTTTTAACGATTTATTTGTAATAATATACTATAATTTTTTGTGTTTCTAATTTTATTATTATTAATTTTCTTGAATTATATTATTATATTTTAAATAATATTCTTTTATTATATTATTATTTTTCTTGTATTTTATTATTATTTTTCGTTAATATAGTTAATAATTTTTTGTTTGATGTTTTTTTTTTTTGTTTTTTTTTAGTTGTTGTATCTTTAATTGTTATTTATTTATTACACATATATTATCTGCTATTATATTATTTATTATTAAATTAACTATTTAAAATTCATAATACTATATATTTTTTATGATTACTGGTTAATTATTATATTCTTTATTTTTAAATTATACTATATTTATTTATTATTGATTTATGCCATACTTTACATGTTATTGCTTTGTTTTTAACTTATATTTTTACATGGCAATTAAGTACCATTGTAAGTTCTGCAATAAAGCAGTGGCCAATCATCAAAGAGGCATTTTATGTGATTGTTGTTCTTCTTGGGTTCATGCTAAGTGCAATTCAATCAACAAATTTTCGTATAACCTTCTTGTCAAAGACACTTCTGACTGGTATTGTAGTGATTGCATAATTAAGAATATGCCATTTAGCACACTTTCGGACTTAGAATTTTCTTTAACTGTATCATGTCAGACTCGACCAACTAGTACCTTAAACTCTTTAGAAAGTCCATTACAATTTTACAACTTTTTTAAGGATATAAATAAAATCTCTAATACTTATTTCAACTGCAAATACTACGATATTCTTGATCTCAATAAAACTTTAAAATCAAATTCTGAATTGTACCTTCATCTAAACATTGGTTCTTTGCACTTTCATATTGATGAACTTCGCAGTCTCATAAGTTCACTTACCATTTTTTCTAACAGTATTTGGAATTTCGGAGTCTAAATCGAATATTAACGATCCCAATATAACTGACATTAGTATAAATGGTTATAACATCGAACAATGCTCTACTGAAGCTAAAAAAGGAGGTGCTCTTCTATACTTAAAATCCGATCTAAACTACAATGTCAGAAGAGATCTTATAGTATATGCCCCAAAATTTCTAGAATCTATCTTTATTGAAATTGTTAATCCTTTTAAGAAAAATATCATTGTCGGCTGCATATACCGGCATCCTTCAATGAACCCAAAGGAATTTATTTCTGATTATTTTAATCCTTTACTTGAAAATCTTATTTATGAAAATAAACAGGTTATGTTAATGGGTGACTTTAACATGGACTTACTAAACTACAATGAATCCCTTATTATATCTGATTACCTTGACTCACTTTGCTCTAATTCTTTTTACCCAACAATAATTCAACCAACGCGAGTAACCTGTAATTCTAAAACAATTATTGATAACATCTTCTTAAATTTTCAAATTCCTAATCTTATTTCTTGTAACGTAACAATATCAATTTCAGATCACATGGCACAGTTTGTTTGCATTCCTAGTACTCCTTTCAAAAGAAAAAAATCCATAACAACTAAACGATCATTTAAGAATTTCAATGATAATGAATTTATTCAGGATATTTCTAATATTGACTGGAAGTTTTATATCAGAAATGGTGATGATGTCAATGAATCAATGAACTTCTTTTTAAAAACATTCAACACAATTCTTGATCGTCATGCCCCGTACAAACAACTAACCAAAAACCAAGTTAAACTCAAATCTAAACCTTGGATTACTAATGGAGTTCTGAAGTCAATTACAATTAAAAATAAGCTCTACAAAAAGTATATAAAATCTAAAAATTGCAACACAAAAAGTCAACTATTTGATAAATTTAAATTGTACAGGAATAAAATTAGCAATTTATTAAGAATTTCCAAAAAGTCATACTACATCTCCTTCTTTAACAAAAACTTCAACAATATAAAAAATACATGGAAAGGAATAAAAGAAATTATTAATATCAAACCCTCTACACCAATTAAATCTTACACTCTTAAGTCTAACGGTTACACTATCTCTGACAGTATGGCTGTTGCTAACATTTTTAACAAATACTATGAAACAATACAACACCCACCCAAAAGTAAAATGATTTCTTCTAAAAGTATCTTCTCGGACTATTTAAAAAATGCTAATTCGAATTCTTTCTTTCTTAATCCAGTGACTGAAAATGAGGTATCTAATTTAATAAAAAATAGTTTACAAAATGGTAAAAGTTTTGGACCAAATAGTATCCCCACACACCTTCTTAAACTTACTTCTCATGTTATTTGCAAGCCTCTCTGTACCATATTAAATAATTCTTTTAATAAAGGTCTTTTTCCAGATGTTTTTAAGATAGCCAAAGTTATTCCTATCCATAAAAAGGGTTCTCTAATGGATCACAGAAACTATCGACCGATTTCTCTTCTATCTAACATTAGTAAAATATTTGAAAAAGCCATGTACAAAAGACTTTATAGCTTTCTTGACAAAAACCAATGTCTTTACAAACATCAGTATGGGTTTCGTAACAAACACTCCACGACTCATGCACTTATTAAAATAACTGAAACTATTAGAAATGCTCTTGACAATAAGCTTTTTGCATGTGGAGTGTTTCTTGACTTAGAGAAAGCCTTTGATTCTGTTGATCACTCCATCCTCTTAAAAAAATTGGAACACTACGGTGTTCGAGGTAACACTCTCCAATGGTTTTCATCATATCTTTTTAATAGATCGCAATTTGTCTCCATTAATGATGCCAAATCTTTTCCAATAAAATGCTCCACTGGTGTACCCCAAGGTTCTGTATTAGGACCACTGCTTTTCCTTATTTTTATAAATGATCTTAATATCTCTCTAAAATTTTCAACGGCTTACCATTTTGCTGACGACACCAACTTACTCATAACTAACAAATCATTAAAAAAAATTAACAAACATATTAACCATGATTTATCTAACTTTCTTCAATGGCTGCGCTCTAACAAACTAAGTCTTAATACCAACAAAACTGAACTCATTATTTTCAAATCTAATCAATCTAAAATGTGTAAAAACCTAAACTTTAGACTAAGTGGACAAAAAATTTTTCCCTTACTTTCATTAAAATATCTTGGAATCCAAATTGACTCAGATCTATCCTTTTCCTCTCATCTTAAAAACTTAGCAGTAAAATTGTGTAGATCAAATGGGATGCTAGCCAAAATTCGCCACTATGTCAATTATGAAACACTACTTAATATATACCATGCAATTTTTGGATCTCATCTTAGATACGCTTGTCAGGTTTGGGGACAATGCAAGTCTAATGCTTTTTTAAGGTTATGTAACCTACAAAACAAAGCTTTAAAAATAATATTCTTTCAACAGTATCATTCTAACTCTGACATCCTTTACTTTCTATCAAAAATACTCAAATTGTGTGATCTTGTTTATCTATTAAATTGTCTATTTGTCTGGAATCATAAACAAGTAAACCTCCCTCCGTCATTCTCCAATTTTTTTACCACTAAAAAAAGTTCTCGTTATTACCTTCGATCTTTGAGTAACTTTAAATTATCTATCCCAAATCGCTGTTCGGTAAAATACGGTGATAATTCTATTACAAACCAATGCGTAAAATCATGGAATAATTTACCTTTTCATTTTCAATCCCTCAACACTTTTTCACAATTTAAAACCCGTCTTTTTGACTTTTTGATAGAAAAATACGCAAATTAAAATCTTAGGCTTAAAATAGATTATTATTACTATTGTTATTAGTATTATTATTATATGTGATGTTAATATTACTTACATTTTATTTGCATTTTTATTACCGCCATTATTACTTATTGGAATTGTTTAATATATGAATGTGATATTTGTTAATATTATTATTGTTGTTACTATTGTTGTTAACTTCATTACTATTATTATTATTACTATTATTGCTTTTGTTATTATAATTACTGATATAATCATTGTTATTGTCATTATTATATTTAATAGTATTATTGGTATTATTATAATCGTCTTCGTTTAATTTACATTATTATTATTGTTATTATTGCTATTATTATTATTATTATTATTATTATAATTACTGATATAATCATTGTTATTGTCATTATTATATTTAATAGTATTATTGGTATTATTATAATCGTCTTTGTTTAATTTACATTATTATTATTGTTATTATTGCTATTATTATTATTATTATTATTATTATTATTACAATTGCTATTATTGCTATTATTATTACTATTATTATTATTGCTATTATTATTATTGCTTTTATCATTATTATTATTATTATTATTATATGATTGCTATTATTATTTAATTGGTGTTTACCTTTGATTAGTACTCGTACTATTAGTAAACTACCATGAAATGTAAACTATTATTTCAGAATATATTGTTATTGTTATTGTTATTGTTATATATATATATATATATATATATATATATATATATATATATATATATATATATATATATATATATATATATACATATATATTTTATATATATATATATATATATATATATATATATATATATATATATATATATATATATATATATATATATATATATATATATATATATATATATATATATATATATTATATATATATATATATATATATATATATATATATATATATATATATATATATATATATATATATATATAAATATATATATATATATATATATATATATATATATATATATATATATATATATATATATATATATATATATGTATGTATTTTGGTTTTAATTTGATTTTAGGTCGCAGAAGAAGAAGATATAGAATTAGATAAAGAACATCAAAAAAATATTTTTCCTGGCTTTCTCGATGAAAACTATAATCTAAATTAATGTTAACTTAACTTTAAAACAAGACAATGAAATTAAGATTTTGGTTAAAAGGCTGCTAAAGGAAAAGTTAGGTGTCTATGCTTTCCTTGTAACACGGTTTTTAGAAAAGAAGTCAAGATATAACACAATGTCAATAAAAAACACAGCTATGGCTAGTATAAGGTAATTATATTGACTTTTGTTTTGTTGAGCAGCAACATGAGTTAATAGAAATAAATATAAACCATTCTTATTTTATAGGTTTGGGATTTCACCTGCCGCAACTGCAGCAATTGCTACAAGTTATCTTCAAGATTTAATTGAAGCAGGATTTCTCACCCCTGAGTCCTCTTACCTTGCTTGTGATCCTTCTAAGTTGACGAGAGAGAGAAAAAAGGTGATGGTAGTTGCGAAGAAAAATGAAAATTTAAAACTTCCGAAAGCAGATAATATTGCCATTTACTTTGACAGAAGGAAAGATTCAACAAGAGCAATGATAAATGATTCAAATGGACAGCTACATCCTATTATTATCAAAGAGCAGCACATTACTGTGACTATAGAACCTGGTGGTCGATATCTTGGCCATTTTACCCCAAATGCACCTAATCATCTAGATAAGCCAGCTAAAAAGATTGCTGAAGGTGTTTATAATTTGCTGCAACAATATAATCTTACTGAATCATGTTTACTACTTGGAGCTGACAGTACTTCAATTAACACAGGCTGGAAAAGTGGTGCTATAACGCATCTTGAAAAGCTGTTAGGTCACAAGTGCCACTGGGCTATATGCATGCTTCATTCGAATGAATTATTTTTGCGTCACCTTATAGAAGGCATTGATGGACCAACATCATGTAGTACTGGATTTGTAGGTCCTGTGGGAAAATTTCTTCCTGATGTTAATAAATGGAGTAAAATCCTTAATTTAAAGCTCTTCCAAATGGAGAGAGCTTTGTCGACATTCCAGAAACAATATTAAAAAATATGTCAACAGATCAGAAACAATGTTACAAGCTATGTAAAGCAGTTAAGATTGGTTTATTGCCACCTAATCTTAGAGAAATTCAATGTGGCCCCTTGAGTCATGCCAGACTCAAGGGGCCACATTGTATGCCAGACTCAAGGGGCCACATTTACTTGTTCGCTCACCAGAGATAAGTTGTTATTACTTAGATTGATACCTTTAATAACTCCTTCGATTAAAATTCATACTCAAAGTACTGAACGTGCTGTAAAACAAGTGACAGTAGCATCCATGTCAGTAGTTGGACCATATGCAAGAGATGGTTATATTAGAGCTAGAGCTCAGCATAGAGAGTTGCTACCTGTTTTTAAAACAAAGAAAGAAATTTTATTAAATTTTTAACTTCAATAGATTTTTATTTTATTTGTTTTTTAATAGTGTTTTAGCAGTTCTATCAAAATATTATTGGGGTAAGATAGGGGGATAAACCACCTACTTTTTGGTGAAAGTATAAAGAACTGTTATGATCAAATTTTTTAATCATTAGAACCTCATAAAAAATTAAATACCCCCTCCTCCTCCCTCTAAAAAATGCAGAATCTGCACTGCAGATAGGATCCATGCAAGATAATGATTTTAAAAAGTATCTAAAAAACTTTCAATAATCTAAAAATATTATTTGCATTTAATATTTTATCGCAATGAAAATGAAAATATAAAATACAATGAAGGACATGTGACAAATTAGATTTTACTAATTTTTGCTATTTCTAAAAGTCCAAATTTGGGTATCAAAACTTTTTCCGATCAAAATTTTTTTTTAAGAAACCCTCTTTAAAATTTGATTTTACATAAAAGTACACCTTTTCCTAAGCTTTTAGAAAAAAAAAAAAAATTCGCTGTACCCTATGTATATACAACAATAAATTTTATATCGGAACAATGAAAAGGTGTATTGAGTCAAAGCACGTGATATGTTCAGTTAATCGAGCCAAAGCACATGATATGTTCAGTTAAAAAATTTTTAAGTTGAAAATTTGAATATTAAAAAGTAAACACACCTTGCTGTTTTACTCCATTTTTTAACTCATTGGCAAAAGTAAAAAGACTAATTATTTTTATAAATACTTTCTTTGAAAAATATTTATTTATTTTTTCTTTGAGGAAATTGAAGTTTTTTTTTTTACTGAAGGTTTTAGTTTTTTTTTTTACTTTAACACTACACCTTTTCAAGATGTAAATGAGAACATGAAAGTTGTAATTAAGAAGTCGTAATATGTAATTAAGAAACACAACACGTAATTGAGAAAACGTTATATGTAATTGAGAAACACAACATGTAAAAAAGAAGTCGTAACATGTAATTAAGAAACACATATGTAATTGAGAAAACGTAAGATATAATTGAGAAATCATAATATGTAATTGAGAAATCGTTACTTGTTATTGAGAACACATAAATTAAAATAGCAAATTCACAGTCTAAAATAGCAAATTTACAGTCACAGCGCGTGGTCATCCTTCCCCGGACAAATCCCGCCATGGCCCTCGGATTACATACCGCATATTTATTGTTTTTAGTGTTTATTACGCTAAATTCATTTGCCCAAAAATTATAAATTTTTCCCTAAAATGTTTTTAGTGTTTATTATGTTAAATTCATTTGCCCAAAAATTATAAATTTTTCCCTAAAAAATTAAATTTACGCTACAAATCTTGCGTCATTTTTAAGTGCGTCATTTTATACGCTCCATTTTTTTACGCGCCGTTTTTTTTAAGCGTAATTTTACACTTACTCCTTTAAAGCGATATCTAAATTAAAATTTTCGTGTTCTCAATTACATCTTTCTATTTCTTAATTACAACTTACATTTTCTCAATTACATGTTACGATTCTTAATTACAATTTTCGTTTTCTAAATTACATCTTATGTTTCTTAATTACAACTTACGTTTTCTCAATTACATCTTAAGTTTCTTAATTACAACTTTTGTTTTCTCAATTACATCTTACGATTCTTAATTACAATTTTTGTTTTCTCAATTACATCTTGAAAAGGTGTAGAAAAGAAATAGAAATAAAAAAGTTGGGTTAAACAAGTTTTTTTAATAATATTCACATTTAAAAATATATAAGTATATATATATACACACACACACACATATATATATATATATATATATATATATATATATATATATATATATATATATTTATATGTATATATATATACTTATATATATATATATATATATATATATATATATATATATATATATATATATATATATATATATATATATATATATATATATATTTATATATATATATATATATATATATATATATATATATATATATATATATATATATATATATATATATATATATATGTATATATATATATATATATATATATATATATATATATATATATATATATATATATATGTATATATATATACTTATATATATATATATATATATACTTATATATATAATATATATATATATATATATATATATATATATATATATATATATATATATATATATATATTAGTTTAGTTTAGTTTAGTTTAGTTTTTTAGTTTAGTTTATTAGTTTATTTCGTCATTAAAAATAATCACAAAGTACAACAATATAAAAAGTACAATTTGCTATGATAAAGACATTGAAATTCTTAATATTGTTAAATGGTCTAGATTTTTAAATTTATGGTGCTAATTTAGTTTAATAGATGTCAAAAGTATTTGACACCGTTAATTTGTATTTGACTTGTCAAAAGTATTTGACACCGTTAATCATCAGATTTTATTAGAAAAACTTAAATATTATGGAATAAGCCACGAATACCATAACTACAAAAGTGACAGAGAAGATCTGCTATATTAAAATCCGTAAGTACTAAATAACGTCTTAATTTAGATTTGAATTGCGGAAATGTTTTTTCTTTAATATTAACAATATGCTGAAAGTTTTTCCACAAAGTTGAACCCCGGTACTGAATAGAATAAGAACATAACTTTAGATTATACTTTTGAGTTACAAAGTTATTTTCTGAGAACTTGATGGGGTATTTATAGTTTACTTCTCTAAAATAAGGATAGAATATCGCTGGAGACAGTCCAAATTTTATTTGATACATGAACTGTATGACGAGGAATATGTTAATTTTAACACATTTAATGCATTGAGTTTACGTAGAAGTGACTCACAAGGCACAGTTCTTTTTACTCTAAATACAATTCTACATGCATGTTTTTGTTTAGTATAAATTTTCTTTAACTTAGCGTAACTGTTGCTTGCCCATACGATATTGCCGTAAGTTAGATAGCTGTGTGTAAAGGAAAAATATAAACTTTTTAGAGATCTTATATCCAAAAATGGTTTTGCTTTATACATCATTGCAATCTTTATTGAAAGTTTTCTTTCAAGAGCGCTTATATGTTTCCTCCATGTTAAATTTTCGTCTAAAATAATACCTAAAAAGTTTACAGTTGTTTGCCTAGTAATTTTTATATTATTGATTTTAAGGTTTCCTGTTTTGGTTGGTTTGTGAAATAGAATAAATTTAGTTTTGTTAACATTAAGTGAAAGTTTATTACGAATAAACCATTCATTTACTTTGCTTCTTCATTAACTACTTTAAAGAGGGTTTTAATATCCCTATGAGAATAAAACAGAGTTTTATTCTCATAGGGATATTAAATAGGATTTTAAATAGAGTTTTATTCTCATAGGGATTGTTAGTGATTATATTATCAAGTAAAGTAGAAGATTTCTAAGTTATTCTGGTTGGTTTATTTATTGTTGGAATAACATTATGTTGAAGAAGTTTATCAATAAAATGCATAATTTTATTTGAAGCTTGTTTTAACAAGTTCAAATTGATATTGCCGACAACGTATATATGCCTCCGTTCTTTATTGACTTTAGTTGAAAATGTGTTTTGGTGAGTCTTAAAGTTACCAGATGGCTTTCTATAAATAGCATTAACAATTATGTTTGTTGTGGTTTTATTATAAATTTCAATGCACAATGACTCACAATCTGTTTCATTAACGCATAAGTCACTAAGAGGGAAAAAAATCAATTAAATTGTGGACAAAAATACTAAAGCCTCCGCCACCATAACTATCACGTGGTTGATGAATTGACGTGTAATTAATTAAATCAAACTGTGTACTTTGTTTATCGCATTTACACCACGTGTATGTTAGACAAATAATGCTAAAATCATGTTTTATTTCGTCAAATAAAATTTGTAAATTTTGAAAGTTTTTATTTAGACTTCGGATGTTAATATTTAAAATTGAAAACGCGTTTTTATTATTTTTAAGATATTGTGCAGATTGGTAAACTGAGTAGTATTTGCTTTCAAAATTCAATTTGTCAAAACAGTCTGTTTCAGTGTCATTATCATTAATATTTTCATTAGAAAATTGAAATAGGGTGAAGCGGGGCATTAAGCCCCGAGTTTTTAAGAACTTTCATTTCTTCTACTCGAAGTAAGTAAATAAATATTAAATTCAACTTAATTATTATAATTAAACTCAAAATGTTTTTAAGTAATAGACAATACATATTTCTTCAAGTAGAAAAGCTTTAATCAGAAAAATTTATAATCTTACAGTGAAAAAAAAGCTATAAAATTACAACTAACAATGACTCAAAATTTGAGAAATGGAGGCAATAAGCTCCAGATGTTAAACATATATTTTGACATTGTTTGTTAGCAAATTTCGCAGATCCATTCTATGGCTTCAATATTAGCCCCATCTGGAATTTCTGTGCATTAAACATGATACCAACCATTACATAAGTCACAGCAGACCCACTGTTCTCCGTAAGCTCCATGAATATTACACTTTAGGCAGACAGTGTTGTCCTCCTCATCACTGTCCCTATCATCTCTAGCTGGAAGATTTTTTTTTCTTGTGATCTTTTTTCTTGGAGTGTTATCTTTCTTTGCTGCTTCATCTCTCAGTCGCTTCAAACATTCATCACCTGTTAGGCTTTCTCCGTAGCGAAACCTGGAGACTCTAGCTGACCTGCAATATCCTGAAGTTTGGGCAAATCTAGGCTGAAGTTCTTTGAGAAAAAAGTCTCTAATAGAAAACTTTCCTGACGATTAAGTAGACTATGATGTTTGCGGTCCTGCATGTGCTGAAGTGTCAATGATGTTTGAAGGTCCTGCAATTGCTGAAGCAGGTGTTGAAGCAGGTGCTGAAGATAAATATAATAGTTCTGTTGATGATGTAGAAGTTGACAATGATGTTGAATATGATACACATATTAGTAATGTTAATGTATTGTGAGCACTAGTGATGGGAAGTACTTTTGTAGAGCATGGCACAGTTTGAGTGGGCAATGTGGGTTTTTCTGTAGCATTTTTTGTAGACATCATAACTTGAGGACA